TTGTTCAGCATGGGGGTGAGTAGAAAATGAAGGCTAATCATGTTTTGGGTGTACTATTCCTTTAAAGACATTTGAAACCATTCGAATCGGAATATCTGACTTAAATGTAAGAGAATAAAAAGAGAAATGACAATAATAGAAAATAAACTCTTATTGAGACACCTCTTACTAGTAAATGTATTTGTAGGAAATGTCAAACTGAAAAAAAGAAAAATAAAGAAATCACAGAAAATGACAGTTAATTATTGGAACAGAATGCTGTCTGAAGATTGACAAGAGGGAGAATTACAATTTATACTTCATTGTTTTTCTGTCTTGCTGTGAATGCTATTGAAAAACATGTAATGAGGAACTAAAAGGGAAGAAATTGAAATTTTACATGTGGCATCTTAAGGTATATCACATATGATGTGCTCTTGACCTAAGTAATGCAGTGCATTAGAAACTCCTTATACGGCTGTGTATATCTGATATATATATATATATATATATATATATATATGCTCTAAAAACTCCCAGAGCTCAGTTAAACCACCAATTATAAGGTCAAGGCATTGCCTTAAGTACTTATATTAAGTAACTTTAAATTACTCTCACTGTAGGAGAACTTGGTCCAAAACATACAGCATCAAAAAGAAAAGGCTAAAGAGAAGGAACAATAGCAGATACAAACAACCAAATCAGAAAAAACAAACATGTAGGACAAAATAGCCACAGCCAACCATACAAAAAATAACCAACTTTCACTGGCTTCATCCAGTCATAAACCATTCCTTAGTCTTTGTTTTAGCATTTCTTTAATTAAACATAGGTTTCAAATACCCTATTATTAATTACCCATTACCTGTTCCATTTATTTTTAAATCATTGTGCTGAGGTTTGTCATGACATGGAGCACAATTGAAATGTACTTCAAAGATTCCACCCTAAATTACTTGTGCAACTTTCTTGTACAATAAGAGTATGTACAATGTACATTAAGTACATTGTACATACAATGTAAAATAAGTGGACATGTTGCATGTGATGTATAAAGATTGCTGCACAACATGTAGTGGGCTGATTTATTTATATGGGAAACCCAAAAAATGCACGTCCCATACGAGTTAGGACATGGATTCCCCTGATTTTAATATTTACACATCTTTACTAACCCTTCAGGGCAACAAATGGAACGGCCAACTCGTTCAGAGAGCATGGCATTGTATTTAACCATCAACAACTGCTATGGTGTTTTTTTTTACCATTTTAAACTTCTATCTAAGATTAAACTAAACAATAGCATTATTCTTAGTCTACCGGTATATTGAACTTCTAATTAAAACTTTCTGCTTGTTTCTTAAAGGTATACACATAAAATATCAGAGATTCTTTTTAGAATCCTGATTCCAGGATTGTTCATATAAACCGGAACAGAATGATTGGGTCTCAATGTGAATGTTTTATTTGTCTGGTTCGGTTGTCAAAGACTTCAGGGAATAAGATAAAAAAGCTCCAAAGCTCTGTTTTCCAACACCAATTAATATTAAAGGACAACTAACCCCCATGCCAGAGCTTTGCTATACCAACTATTTGAAAAACAAAAGTGACAAGATTCCTTTACAGAAAATGCCTATACTGACTCAAAGTTCAAATGAGTCTCACTTAAAATAGAAGAAGGTGCCACACAAAGGGTGTTATTGTATGTTCAGGCCAGACGAGGTGTCTCCAGCCAGTGCAGTGGATTCACATAGAATTTTTGTATAAACCATGCGCGGAAGGGCTGGGAAGCGGCCACTGTTCATCATCTTCCCTTACCTCCAGCACAGACCCCGGTCTGTCACTGCCCACTGCCCAGCATCACTGCTTCCTGCCTGGGTAGGAAGGAAGTACCACCAAATCTAACAGTCATACAGACACAGCTCTGTATGAACCAAATCGGAGTAATTTTTCACTATTTCTGAGGCTTTTCCAAAAATTGATGCATAGAGAACTATTTAAAAGTTAAATTTTATCTGTATTTTTATTGTGAAATGCTGACAGGGAGATCTTGACAGGACATGCTACAGGGTTGTCAGGGGTAATGGCAGGTCCAAAGCGAAGGGTCTGGGAGGCTGGTGATTTACTGAATATTAAACAATCCTTCCAGCCACTAAATACGATTAACATTCCCACTGTTATATTCAATACCAGAACAGGAATGAATTGTGACGTTATGTAATAACTTTATATCAGGAAACAAGCGCAGCACTAACATCTGCTAGGGTGGTGATGTCATCAGCCAAAATTAAAAATGAATACATCTTAAAAACAAATCAGCACGCAGCTGAAGCTCCTCCTATTCGATGACACGGTCCAGGGAATAAACAGTGTGCATCTGAAATTCAGAGCAGTGAACTACCTGGAGGACTCATGGCAATCACCGCGGACACTGTCCTTGGTCTGAATGCACCATTAGACACTGAGGCAAGAATTCAGGAAACGTTCAGTAAATTGATAAAAATAATAACTAAATCATGCAGACAGCACTGTAATACAACCAAAACACAGTTTGTTAGTAAAATAAATACATAAATAACTTGATATTGGGGTTTGTCAGTAAATATGGAAGGACCACACCTGGTCTACATCTACCCTCTTTTGGAATGACAGGGATTTTTTTTATTTGAGTTGTACATTTTAAGAGATTCTAATGTGAGGTTTTAATTTAAATGTTCAGAGACAGTAGTGTGCTTTAGCTTTCTGTCTGACCACACAGCCTGAGGCCGGAAACCTCCTGTCCAGTTTTTGCCAAAGCACACCTGGAGGTCTCGAGAGTAATTGGGGTCTTCAGCAAACTCTTGTAAAAATCACTTACTTGCATGTAGGATGAAAAACATGAATGAATGAATGCAAAAATCATCGGCATTAGCAAACAGTTATAACCTGAACTTTTGATTTTGATGAGCATTTCTACTTTTTGCATTCGAACATTGCATTTAACACAACTATGACACTGCGACAGAAGGCTGTTAAAAAAAGGGAAAAAAAAAACACAAAGAAACAAAAGACAAGCTTTTAACACTGAAAGGCACATTTAAAAAAGCTTGTGGATGGATCCGTTTCCTTTCTTAAATTGCAAGAGTTAAAGAGAAAATTGGATCTATTTTAGACAATTTTGAAAAACATTCCTGAACAAAAAGATATTTCAGGCTGCAGCAAGATATCTTTTGCTTTTATATTTGCCATATTGTTGGTCACTTTGAATATAAAACTAAAATCTTTGTTTGCGAGAGGAAAGTTTGTCCTGCCTTGTTCATGTTCTCATGGTCTTTTGATTTTAATTTTTTGGACATTTCTTGGTCGATACAGATCAACTTTTTAGGTAAGGTTGGACCAGTGAAGTTTGCTTGATTTCCCTAAGGATTATATAGCATACAACTAAAAACAGAGTTATGCTGCTAATTAAATAACATGCATGGAATGTTATTCAATAAATTGAATCATAAAATAAGAAGGAATTTTAAGATCTTCCAGTCGATCCCCCCAACCACTGCGCTCTAATATCTATCCAAACTTTTAAAGTTTCTGACCTTGTATTACTATTACTAGATAATAATAAAAAGTTGTTTGACTCTGATCTTTGGCCTATTCATTTGTAAATTGCTAATCTGTATTAATATCCAGTGTGGTTGTGTCTTTCTGTTTAGGCCAAACTTTGGACCATTTAAGCATTTTCCCATCTATAAACAAAAGAAATCTCTGGCCAAATATTAAAGGAATAAATTCCTTTAATCCCACACTCAAAAAGGATTAACAACAGTAAAAAGAAAACCAGCAGGTCATCTTGTTAGGAGAAGCATCAATTTGCAGCTTTTACCAAAAGCCAGCTACTCCGGCAATTAAAATTAAAATTAATCTTATTAACGGTCACCTAAAGTGGCGCAGGAACTGGCTGTGCATATACCTTCTTTCAATGGTCTGAAATGTCAGGTTGATGACTCATTTTGAAGTAGCTGTGAGCATGGAGGAAAATCAAACTCACCACCTCGTCTTATTAAACATCACACAGAGAAATGTTGTGGTGTATACACATTTTTTACTGAGGGAGACTGACTGGTTCATTTGAATCAAAGGCATTTGTGTGCTTTTTAATTGCCTGGATGTTTAAGCTAATTCATCCAAATACAATCTGGCTTAGAACCATCTAAATGCTAGTTTAATAAAAGCCCAGGTGTTGGTCACGAATGAATCCCTTTAGATAGCCCAGTGAAGAAGCATTTGTCTTGTACTTGCCAATCAGAGGGACTTGTTGCAGACCAATGCGTAGTTTCATTGTGTTATCAGTGTGCCCTGTCTGGGCAGTGCAGCTCCCTGTGCTTTATAAGAGCTAGAAAAAAAGAGCTACAGCTTCAGGCTGTCAGTGTGGCTCTGAGAGCAGCAGCAGCAAAACTATTCAGACCATTTCTTTGGTCCAGTGCTTTAGACATTCAAGTACACCAGTGACCCTGCATTTAGAGATAAATATGCATTTTCCTGTAATAAGATATGGTTTTGTAGTGTGTAGTCCAGGATCACTTGTGTACCCTAGTTAGGATTAAAACAGTTATATGTGCTGAACCCTATGATGAAAATCCATAACCTTACCCTTTCCTGAACAAAGTCCATGATATTTTTGAAGTCTAGGTCATCGTAGTAGTTCACTATGCCCCTTCTGATGTTCTTGTTCAGCAACTTTACAGTCTATTGGAAAAAAAGAAACAAAAAATGTTGGTATTTGAAAGTCATATAAGTGAAGGAGACAATCTTCAGTCAGGACAGCCAAATGTCAATTCATGAAGGTGACTTATCACCCCCCCCAGCTGAAAAATTTCAATGTGACACTTTAAAGGCTCACATCTGTTGGTCACAATCTGCTGAGGAAAAGGGAGCTGGAGTGGTCGTATTAAACACAGCAAGCTTACAATCTGTTAAACATTGAACTGCACTCTGAACCCTCATCATCAAGCGCTATGTTTTCACATGGTTAAATAGAATTAATGACTCAAATTTTGCGCAGATATGCCTAATGTATCAATAAACAGTAAAGTTAAAGGCGTCTATGCAAATATTGCTTTAACAGATGTATCTTAAAAAACATAAAATTTACTGAAAAAGATCAAATAATTAGTAAGAATATAAGTAAAATACCATGTGTAAATGGAATCACTAAAATATATGGGATTTTTCTAAATAAATCGTCAGAGACTTATTTAGGGTTTTTATTTAGACTTTATTAACTTAAGTTTTTATTTAAACTTTTTTTTTTGGTGATTGGGGCTCAGGGCTAAAGAAAACCCAACATTTTGTTACTTACCAAAAATGTTATATTAGAATATTGCACAAGTTAGTTCACCAGCACAGCCTGGAGGAAATCACCCCACTCTAATTAGTGCCCTTGATGGCTCAAAAATCCAATTTTCCTCTTTATAATACACCGTGGATTCTTTTCAGTGCTAAGGGGCAGGTGAGTTTTCATGCATTGGCACTGCTGGCCATGTGGACAGTTGCCCAACCAGCTTGAAAATAAAAACCTATCTTTCCATAAAGCTTATCAGCAAATGGATGCACCAAATGCTTGAACATTTCCAGCTGTGTTGAATGTGGCCTTGACATTACACATCATAGGACAGAGTTGAGGTGAGTCTTCACATTGGATCTTAAGCAATTTGTATTCTGTCCCCTTTCCTCTTCTCAGTCAGCTACCTCATTATTTTGTTGGTTGTGTTTTTCTCTTCAGGCAGAAGCTTCTGAATTCAGAGTCATTATGAATCTTAGCCAGTGTCTAACATCAAATCCTACCAGTGTTTTTTCCAGTAATAAATGTTCACTTTTTGGTTTCTCAATTAAGTATCTGTACTTCTTACACAATGAACTATCCAATAAAGGAAATATGTTTTCTCCATCTCATACACAGTGGATTGTTTATTGATGCAGTTGTTTTTGTTTGTGGGGAAAGCCATCCTAATCATTGGCAGGAAAACTAAAGGATGTATTGGACCGGCTGGACAATAAAGAACACAGATTATAAAACAAAACAAGAGAAACTAATCTAGGAGAGGATATTACAATGAAAAAGACAATACAACAATGTCAAGAAGCAAATAACACTGATAACATACAACTGATAATCCTTTTGGTTTGTATAAAGTTTGTATGTTATCTGAATCTCTTCTACATGTTGAAGTTTGACCAACTTATTCCTGTTCATTTGATCTGCGGCTTTAGAAATATTTCAGACTAAGGCTTCCTCAGTAAATCTTCAAAGCCTACCTGGTTCCGAAACGTCAGAGCCAATATTCCTCCCAGCAGCTCCAGTATCAGGCAAACTACCAGGGTGTACATAAACTGTGACACAGAAACAAACAAAAACAAAAAAACAATTAGACATGCTATTATTAATTTACATGCAATAAATCAGGTTCCTTCCTCTTTTTTTAGAGATTCAATATAATCCAATTGTTTTTTTAAATGGGATGGTCAGTTCCAGAGGTACAGAATGTCACATAATCTACATTAGTGTTCATAGGTTTGTAAATGGCTTAGGATTCCAAATGTTTCTATTAAATATAAGGACTTTGTTTTATACAGTATAGCATAAAGTCAGAGAGAAAGCTGGTACACTGTGATGTTGTTCAACTTTAATCATATTTTGATGAAAAATAAAAATATGATTCTAAATCAAACATGGTAACAAAAATATCACCCCATTTCTTTTCACAACATCACTTCAGTTCAGTGGAGAAAGAAAACTCTGCCAGGAGATCATGTTAATTTAATTAGCATTATCCTCTGTTGATTAGCATTAAAACAGAAAAGTTTAACTTTCATTTACTGATTTTCTGTTGAAATGTTTTTTTCTTTAATATCTAAATAACACAGTGACTCATATCCTGCTTCAAATCTGTATCCAAGGCATAGACAGGACCAGGTGATACTTTACTTATTCTGTCTAAGAAGTATATAAGGTCACTGCTTACTTATAAAAGTAAGAAGCTTAAATAAATTTGATATTTATTCTTATGATATAAAGTTATGCAATGCCTTGGGGAAAACCAACAGCTCAGGTTGATAGGACTTAAAAGCATCGCTAACACCAGTAGCACTATTAGCAAGGACATGTTCTTACTTATCTATCACTTTCGCATGAATAATTTTGTTTTTAAATTATTTCTACGATTGGTTTTGCAGTAATGGTCACTTTAATCATTCTTCTCCCATTTCTAATCTTCTTTTAGGTACAAAGACATTTTACGGGTGCTCCAGACTTGACGTCTGTCTTGGGCAATCACTTAGCTTTTATCCAAACCTAGCTTTTCACTGAATAACTAAATTTGTTGTTACAGAGAAGCAATTGCCCATTTTGTTAGGCTTCATAATTAGATATTATGCAACTCTGCAATTATAAATGACATTTTTATTTTCTGACTACAGAACTATCGGTCACTACACATGCAGCTGACATGTTTATATCCAGAGAACAATGGTTTGTTTGTTTTAGTTATGGAAAACGTATGTACTAGACTTAATATGGATGTATAGACTGCCACTACATCTATCTCTATATATATCTCTGTGTGTGTATATATATATATATATATATATATATATATATATATATATATATATATATATATATATATATATATATATATATATATTTGTTTTATATTTATTTATTTTTTTTAAAGAAGAAAGCAAATTCGCTGCAGGCGCTGGTACAGTGTTCAGATGCTACAGTCTAAGTAATATCTGTGAAGTTTTCTTCATGGATGTTATGAGGAACTTATGACTCCCTCTTTTTCCCATTTCTGACCGGTGGAGCACTTCTCCAGTGAGCCCTTTTCTTCCCAGAAACAACTTCCTCTTTAATGTGGCTATTGAATCAATGGTATCTTCAATTCTGAAACATCAGACATCCACCAGCTCATCAAAATATTTAGGGTCTGTCTGGTTCACTGTACGCATGTGTAGAGATGTTATCCTGGTCACACGATTATGCTACGGTAAACATACACAGAAAGGCTATATTTACAAAGTAACAAATACTGTGCAGGCACGACATATTTCATAAAAATGCAACCAGAGTGAGTTACTGGCCTATAAATTCAAAGCTACAGTAAATAATTTTCTGTGATATATAATGATCGACCGCTTTAAATAGTATTGAATAGTATAAATAGTATTTTATTAGTTTGTGTAGGATATAGATTTTATATAGGCCTAGGATAGCGAATATGTGTTATTTGTTCCACATGCCGTGTTTTATTGAGCTGCTTAGCACAGTAATGTAAACAAAAATGTAATTGTAGTTGTTTAGTTTGATACCGAGACTGTGTCTGTTGCAAATATAGCAAATGTTTTCCCCAATTAGAGAGTCCAGGTCTTGATTGAGGCAGAGGCGTTGTTAGACGAGTGTGAGGTTGCAGACGAAAGCACGGTGGTGGGCCTCATCAGAGATGACAACGACCAGGACTACAGGAGGTGGAGCAGCTGGTGGGATGGAACAAAGATAACAGCCTGATCCTGAACGTGGAGAAGATGAAGGAGATCATCCTTGACTTCAGGAAGAATCGGCCTAACCACGTTCCTCAGCTCAGCTATAGAGGTGATCAGCAGCACCAAATTCCTAGGGGTGCACATCAAAGACACCCTCACCTGGACTGTAAACACCACCCCAATGATCAAAAGGGCACAGAAGCGCATGTACTTCCTGCACAGGATGAGGAGAGCCCACCTGCCCCCAACCATCCTCACAGCCCTCTACAGAAGCACCATAGAGAGCGCTCTGACCAGCTGTCTGAGTGTGTGGTGTGGAGGCTGCAGCGCCTCAGACAGGGAGAAAAGTCAGAAGAGTGGTGAAAACAGCAGAGAGGATCATCGGGGCTCCACTTCCCTCCATTAAAGACATTTCATCCCAGTGCTGTGTGTCTGCCCCACCATGGACTGTTCTCTTTGCTGCCCTCTGGGAAGAGGCTTCGCAACATTCAATGCAGGTCCAGCAGATACTGAAACAGTTTCTTTGTCACTGCCATCAGACTGCTGAACTGTTGGGGGGGAAAAAAACTAAATCATGTCACAGACTCTGCATCACACTGACAACACCAAACCAAAAACAGTGCATAATTGCGCCATATATAATAATGTTCTGAACTTCCATATCAGTGCGTTTTTTGCACAATGTTTTTTCTTCCACAGTGTTTACATTTCACCACTCTCGCACTTTATAAAATGGAAATGTTTATTTACCGTCTGAAGAGCTGTAGTAAACAAACTTTTGCTCTATATACACCTTGTCTATACAAAATGACAGTAAAAGTTGTTCAACTCTAAGTTTAAGGGAAGATGAAGCCAAGGAGAGGAGTAACAGAGGTATGTATCCAGAAAATTACTATGGTGTTTTATTAAATGATATGCACAATATGAATTAATATAAATCAGCATGTTTTATTTACAGCTCTGAGTGGACCATGGTTACTTTAGTCTGTAGTTGGAGGAGTAATATCCAAGTAACTACTACATTTCTGTCAGTAAATCCCTAAAATTATTTTACAATGTAGCTTAAAAAATGTCAAATAATGTAACTATGTACTTTTAAAACTGTAGCATCTAAATCATGGATCATCCTAAATTTAAAAAGAAGAAAACTTGAAATGAAAAGAAACTTTGATTTGTTTCAGAATTTTTTATTTTTGGCCTTTGGATAGATTCATACAACAATTGGATGTATTGGTGGACTGTGGTGACAGAAAGGATGCAAGGACACAGAGAGAATCTTTATATCTAAGGTACATTCAGTTTGAGACAAGGATGTGTTGTCCTCCATGGTTGACTGATGTAGAGGCAGATTTCTGTCCCTTGGGACTTCCAAGTAAAAACAGTGTCTCTGTCGAGCATCACCAGGGCACCAAGCCCAGAGAAAATTAGCCAGGCATCAGTACCCCCGGGAGTGAGCGAAGTTTCAGTGAAAGTCACACACATCCTGGTTTCTTCAGTTTAGTGAAATTGGTTTTGTTTTCATCCATCTTATTTCAAAAGGACCCCATAATGCAAAGCAATATTGAGGGGATAGGTATGCGGTGGAATGACAGCCACATAAATGTCTGATGTCAAAACGATGCCATGCTGGTTTATTAAAGTTCCCCAGATAAGTCGGGATCTAAGTAACTGACTGATCCCCAACCACTACGATTCAGTAAAAAAAGAAAAAAGAAAATCTCAGAGAATACAGAGTCCTCTCAATGTGTGAGTAGCGTGGTTCAAAGTCTGAGGAATGGTCAATGGAGAGATGAAAAATAGCTGCTTTAATAAACACAAAAACAATAGAACTAAAGTATAAGAACTAAAGTATAAGAGATACAATAAAGTGGCACCTTGATACTATTGCTGAAGTATAAGTGGTATTATTTAATCTGACATGTATACTGTGGTAGCTAAAGTTAAGAATATGGGCTTTCTGATAGTAAATCTCTGAGTACCTGGAACCAAGCACCTGTAGTTGTTTGTGAGAGCGCACTTAGGCATGTAAATTTTATCCAAAGGAAAAATGCTCAATGGTGGTTGTGAAGAGCCAAAGACCCGACCCCCCAGAGAACAGAGGCAAGCGCTGGAGGACCCAAAACCCAGACGCCCAAAGGGATTCCCCCAGCCGCCGCAATGCTGGAGTCCCTAGGAACCGCGGGGACGAGCCTGCGTGCTCCGGCGGCAGCCAGCCACCCCAAAGTGCAACCGGCCATGGGCCACCAGCAGGAGCCCCGACCAGGCCCCACAAAGCAGCCGCCAGGGATAAGCCAGCACCTGCCTGGGCATCCATCCCCAAACACCGAGCACCACTGAGCCAAAGCGCCAGCCAACGGAGGGGGGCAGGACGGGGGGAATGGGCTCCGCACTTAGTGGAGATTTGAGATGTTCTTGGGAGACGGAGCAGTTCAGACCTGAACCTGACAAGTAAAAAAACATGTAAAAAAATAATAATACACAGTCTCAATCACGCCTTCCCACCCTAGTGCCCCCCCTCGCAACACACAGACTCTTCAAAAATAAAAAATAAATAAATAAAAAAAACGGCGTACACACATTCACACAACACACATCCGATAACCCTAGCACCAAGGACCCAGGGTTAACTACATTCTTATTGAAACTCTAATACAAATACCATATTTGTAATTTTATCAGTTATCAACCTCTAAAAGTAGTTAGCTGAGATGGGTTTTGTTTACAGGTATGGGGAAAATATGGCTGAATATTAAACCTTTTTCATTTTTATTTGTAAAAAGATTTTGAACTCCATAGATTATTTACAGTCCCCTTTCAAAATGATACTTCTGGGGATCATCATTTCATTT